CGCCTGTACCGGACCGGGACCGGCAACGGAATCATAACCCTCGGTGCTGCGCCCGCACCTCGCTCAGCCAGTGAGCGGGAACCGGTCTGTATGTGGGATCTGAACCCTTGGTGGGAGCGCCACCGCACTCCCAAGCGGCGCACTGTAGCAGTGCACCACCGGGCCGGCCCAAAGTTGTACTGTTTGAGACAAGATCTGGAGTAGCTGCCGTAGACATGCTGTCATACTTTTTCGTTTTCTGTAATGCATGTGTTACTCTGTGAATTCACTTTGCTCATTTATTTTTTCTAGTCTTCCCCTGCTACACTGGAATGTAAACAACATGACAGCAAGGGCATTGCCTGTGTGTTTCATTACTGTAACCCCATTACTCAGTGGTGCCAGATTTTTAGATCTAATTTAGACAGACTTGTTAAATAAGTGAATGAAAAATCTGTTTTTAATATTCTTGTGAATGTTTTCTGACAGGCACATATGATTGTAAATCATTGCTTTTGAGTTAAAGGTTGGAATTGACAATTACTGATTTCAAATGCATATTTTGTTTCTGTTTTGTAAACCTAGTTTTACCTTTGTTTTATGTAGAGCAATCAAGCAAATTTGACAGTATCTTTGCCACTTAATTTTATTTCTCAAATATAGATTTTTTTTTCTTTTGGCATTGAAGGCTTTACTACCACTATAATGCATTAAATAACTCCATAAATTAAGAAATAGCTGTCAGGAACAATCATCAAAGTATAGTAGAATTTCAGTCTGTTGTTGCCTTTAAGTACTTTAGAATAACAGAAGTAGAAACAAACTTTGATTTTCTAGGGGATTTTAAAGATGTGATTTAGGAATCTGACTTGTGTGATATATGTTGACTGTTACATTGATAACTTAACTTGCTTCTAGTTCTTGTTACATGACCCTGGGCAAGTAATTTCCTTTCTCTTGGCCTCAGTTTCCTCACTTGTAAAATATGAGGGTTAGACTAGACAGTTCTCCTATATTCTTAAATGTTAAAAAAAAGTTGGTGACATTTACTAACACTAATTGTCATGATTATTGTCAACAAATATAGCTCAGTTGAGGAAGAAGATCCCCAATTATTTTAGGTTTCTTTAAACCTCTAAAATTGTGCCTCCCCCATGATATTATGATTTCTTTCTCAATATGTTTTTATGTGCTACAAGCTTGTATGTACTGCTATGTCTGTCTTAAGGGAATCTTTTGTAGATTTCATGACTTGTATTGCTTTCGGAGTTATTTTATGATTTGAGTGTTATGTTTGTGTGATGTCCTGAACCAAGATAGAAACTGACTCGCCATCCTTACATAGAGGATTTTGTCTCCAGAGGAGGGAAATGATATCCAAGGAATATGGATGAAAACCATAGATAATAGCAGAACTCATAGGGTCATTGCCTAAAAGTGCTTTGTGTGGAAAAAGCAAACTCAGTTTCTCCTACTCTCCTTTCACAATATACTTCTGACACCAGATATGTAGGGATTTCTTTCTGCCAGCAACCAAGCAGTCATTTCTCCAGTGGACATCTGTTGGGTGTCCTTTAGTTCAATTCTGATTCTATCCACCTGGAGTTTGTGTCAGATCTCATAAGTTGAGGCTAAGTCCCATAAAACTGAGCCCACTTCATACACCAGTCACAAGTCCAGACCTCTGGAATTTTTCTCTGACTGGCTTCAAGTTGGGGTTCCCACAACCCCGTCTTTAGGCTTAATTTGCTAGAGTGGCTCACAAAACTCAGGGAAACACTTATTTACATTTACCAGTTTATTATAAAGGATATGGTTTTGGGGTATGTGACTGTCCCAGCACATGGATGAATTCTTGTTCACCTTCTTGCAAACCTTCTCAAGTTCAGCTGTCCAGAAACTCTCCGTACTAAGTTTTCTTGTCTTTTTTTTAATGGAGACTTCACTGGATATGCATGAGTGAAGCATGGAACAACTGTGTAGAAATGTGGTTGGACAAAAAAGGGTATTATCTAATACTAATGGACTGAGTGTGGAATCTTGGCCTCTCTGTGCAGCATTCCTTCCTCCCAGGTATGGGGCAGGACCCCTTCTGAAATGGGAATCTTATGACTTACAATCAGACAAGTTAGATCAGAGAATTTCTTTATAGCCAGCTTCAAGACAGAAAGATGGGGAAGATTAGTTCTATGGCCTGCCATGGGGGGAAAAAAGGGCAAGAGAAAGAGAGATTCTCTTTTCTGAGGCCTAAAGGGCTGTGTTTATTGTTTTAGTCACCTAGTAAATAACAAGGGCTATGGGAGTTATGAGCCAGGAACCATGGACAAAATCAGAATATATATCATAATACCACATGCTTACTTTGTGTTTCAGGAAAGGCTAGGAAGAGTTAGGTTTAAAGAGAAATTTAGGTGGAGAAAGCCATATTTTGAAGTTGGGACAGAACCAGAATATGTGTCAAAGAAGCAGGGAATCATCACGCTTTTATTTTGTTTAAAAGTGGAAAGTCTTCTTTTGGTTCTCATGAGTTGCTTGAATTCTGATGGCAGTTCATTTAACAAAGTTATCATTGGTAATTGAGGCAAAATTTGCTGTCCCTGATGTATCTTACTACTTTTCCTTTTCTTCCTAGGCAGCAATCATTAGTAGAGTTCAGTGTAGGATTGTGGCTTTGGATCTGCGAAGTCATGGTAAGTGAAGTTCTTTTTTTTTTTTTTTTTTCCTTTTTGTCTTTTTTCGTGTCCGGCAACGGATCGCAACCCTTGGTGTCGCGCCCGTACCGGACCGGGACCGGCAATGGGATCGTAACCCTCGGTGTTGCGCTCGCACCTCGCTCAGCCATTGAGTGAGAACCGGTCTGTATGTGAGATCCGAACCCTCGGTGGGAGCGCCACCGCGCTCTCAAGCGGCGCACTGTAGCAGTGTGCCACCGGGCCGGCCCCTTTTTTTAAATTTTTATTTATTTTTTATTATTATTTTTTTTTTTGTAAGTGAAGTTCTTAATTAGACATTGACTGACTCAGTGACATAGTCACCAAGCCCCTTTGAATAGTCTTAAATATTAGAGATTTCAGTGTGGCCATAAAATAACCCAGTCTATTTCATCTGGGCATTTTGGGAGAAGTCTTTATAAATATGAGTGTGTACATATGAAAAAATATTTTAGTATATATTATATAACATTTTTGTATAATATATGTGTGTGCATGAGTGTGTGTATGTATTTTTTTAAGCTAGGAAAATGTCCTTTAAAGTAATCAAATTCTGATGCTGATAATGTGTAAGGAATATGGATAAATTTTTGCTAGGCTACTGTAATTATTCTCCTTAGAGTAGCTATCTATAAAGATTTGTCTGTAATGTAGAAAATCCTTGCTAATTCATAATATAAAATTATAAAGTCCACATTTTATTGTCCAAATGCAAGATTTAAAAAAATTTTTTTGGTTTCATAATTTTTATTCTTAGAAATTTAATTTTTAAAATATTTTCTTTTTAGGTGAAACGAAAGTCAAGAATTCTGAAGACCTGTCTGCAGAAACAATGGCAAAGTAAGTAACCAAACATTGCTTATACATTGCCTGGCTCCCATAATTATGATAAGTAGTAGTCTACTAGTCTACTCTCCTGGTGAGATTGCTGGACAATAATTAACACAGAAAATTTTACTTTTGTTCTTTCTCCTTTACTTTTGGTTTCTCCTTAATATTTAATCTTGAAAAAGAAACCTTCCATCTTTCCTGGTATATCCAATGTGATGGTCATCAGATAAAGCACTTGAAAATTCTTCAATGCACAGTTTAGTTTGTGCAGACTTTTGAAAAGTTTACTTCTGTTGATGGAGATGAATAGAATCTGGATATCTATCGTGAACTCATGCTTGGGAAAGTGGTTGGTATGCAAGAGGCCTTGAGAGTATGGTCTTAACATATCCTGCCTTCATTCTTTATTCAATGTCATAGAAAAATGAGAATGGAGTATTAAAGAATAACTAACTAATTATACCCTGGATCCCAAAGTAAAAAATGAATGTAGCATATACAGTGGGTCTCAAACCTGCTTACTCATCAGAATCATCTCATAAATTATTAAAAATACAGATGATTTGGCCCTACCCAACCTATTGAATTAGTACTTCTAGCAGTGGGCTCTAGGCATTTATATTTTGATAAAGCTCTGTAAAGGAATCTGATGGAGCCAGTCCCATGACTGGTACTTGGGAACCACTCACGGGAAACACATGATAGTGTAAACAGTATTCTTCTAATTACTCTGCTTCACTACCTGCTCTGTCAGGTATTTGGCCAACTTTGACCAAAAATATCTTGCACCCTCTTAGTTTAGCAGCTTTAATACAGGAGTAAACTGTTTTGACTTTAGAGCCCAAACTGATGTGGCATCAATATTTTTTTATAATAGGTATTATTTGTGTGCTTTCTGACAGGCTTTATTAAATATAAAGTAAGCATTTATTATGAATAAGTAATTGACTTAATTTGTTTAATCATTTATAGAAATTAATCCACATTATTAACCCTGTAATATAGATATTACCCCTTTTTTCCAGATGAGGAAACTAGCTCATATACGTGGAATAACTGAGGTCACACAGTCTATAGATCCAATTTGTGGCTGCATAGTGCTTGGTAGAAGAGAGAGCGAGATTACAGTGTAATATATAGTATGAATACCATTTCACTCAATGAACATATGCCTGAGAAACTATGAAAAGGGAGTCAAGAATCTGTTCCCTTAATTATTTCTACTGCCTCTGCAATATGAGAACAATACTGAAATAGTCAAGCATATTAGTGATACCTGTAGAAAGATTTGTGAATGATTATTAAGTATTTAAAGGGTTTCTTGACTTCTGACCAAAAAAAAAGTGAAATACATCATCTAAGTGGCCAGGCAGCTACACAAATGGATGAAGATGGCTTCATTGACATTCAGAGGAAATTGAAGAATTAATTGAAGACCTTAAGGAAACTTTGACTAATAATAATGGATCAGTCTGAGTCCAATCAGGAGAGGGAAACTACACAGAAATTTGAATAGAGAAAGTTTAATATAGAGTTAGTCACTATAACGGGATTGGAGTAATGAGGGATTGGCTAGTAAGAAGTAAAGAATACTCTAAATAATATAGGAATAGTAGATGTAAGGAGCAACCATTACTCCTCAGGCTGAGATAGAGCACTCAGGGTTGAGATCTAGACCTTGTTGGAGAAGGCATGATCATGGCTTACCAAAGGGCACAACTTGCTGGAAATCTGCCCTCTAGGGTATAGGGGAAGTTGTTCATGGAGAGAGGTATCTCATCAGAAGCACTTTGCTTCTAAAACCCTGGGTTGGAGAGGGATGGAGTGCTGGAGAATCTGCCTGTGCTACAGGCATTAGGCATGAGTTGGCATGAGTTGGGCACTGGGGAAGCTGAGTGTATCTCCAGGCCCTCTGTTGATGAGAGGGATGGAGTGCTGGAGAATCTGCCTGTGCTACAGGCATTAGGCATGAGTTGGCATGATTTGGGCACTGGGGAAGCTGAGTGTATCTCCAGGCCCTCTGTTGATATAGCTTAATATTATGACTGCTGACAATGGAAAAATGTTTTAAATGCCTCAGATCCAATTTTTGTAGAATAGGCAATGAAGGGTGAATTGGAGATGAGAGGCAATAAGTTGATTGCTGGCATAAAAAAGTTAAAAATATATATATAAAAATCATCCACAGTAGATGAAGATGATGACCAAGAAGGGCCAGCAAAGTGGATTCTTGTTGAAATTATGCAAATAATAAAACATTTGTATGATTTCTGAATTCATTCACTCAATGAAACAAAAATCTTGGAGTAGGTATATTTAATGGGGGTTTTCAAGTTGTGTCAACAACATGATTTTTATCTTACATATCAACAGCAGAATCTAAACCATACATGAGAAAGTATGTGAAAAAGAGAGCCAAGATTTGAGCTCAGGTCATTCTGATATTCCAGTTTCTGTTATGTCTGTAATATACCATATTGCTTCTCAGAAAATGAACCTAGTATTAAAATATGTTGGAATCCCCTTAGAAAGCATCTACCAAAATTGTGATATATCCAGTTACAGACTAGATTTGTAAGTAACCCCTGCTAATTCATCTTTATTTTATTTCTCTGGATTTTCAAGACATATTTCAAGTAAGTTACTTGGTGACTGAATACTTTGCCTAGCGTTAATAAGAATAAATTTTGCCTGGTGGTAGATGATCAAGATATTGATCATAAACACCTTTAACCTGGGTAAATATACCTGTCCTTAGCTTAGAAATGATATTAAGTTGGTGTGTTTCAGACCTTCTCTACCTTCTTGCATGAAGCAAATATCACAGAACCCCTCCAACTAAGTTAATGTGTATTTTAAGGACACCTGGACTAAGATAATCTTCCATAGAATCCATTTATTTTACTTATTGTATCTATTACCAACCAAAAGTTTCTTGGAATTTTTCAAGAATTATTCTAGAAGTTATACCTTGATATTTAATATAAACATGTTCTAACTTATCTTTTCTTTTCTTTCTAAATTTGCCCCCAAAATCACATCCAATGTGGTTTTAGATTAATTAATTGAGCCTGTAATTTTTTTTCTGGTCTGTCATTTTGATATGCAGAATTCACTTTGGAATACTACCTGATTTTATTTTTCAGAAACACTATATAGTTTTCCTCTATGTTATTTACTCCAAAGATCACTTATTAATCTAATCTTTGTTCCTGATGTTTTCCAGTAGTCTTTGAGAAAAGGCATCATGGTTTTGACTTTAGGGAGTTACCCTGCATCTACAGTGCCCAGTGCCAGTGGGAAATCGGTTTAAATATGCTTCAATGGGATAACAGGAATCTGCAGCTCTTTTTAACCTTGGTAGAAATGCAGCAATATTTTGATAGACCCAATGGTATTAATTGACTTGGCCAGTTCTTGTAATTAGTAGATGTGTCCTCAGTTTTGCCATCTGTAAAATAGTAAAACAGATTATTCCAGGCAAGGCCGTTGAAGGATTACATGAGATGATGTTATAGGAAAGTTCATAGTATGTAATAGGCACTGAATAAATATTAGTTCTCTTTTCTTCCCCCCATATCATTTTGTCTTCCACAGAGATTTTGCATTTAGTGTAGAAGCAGCACTGGTGTCAAAGAAGCATGGACTTTTCTTAACTATATTATCTCTTTAGATGACTGCCTAAACTGCTTTACTTTCCATCTTACTCTTAAATTTAACTCCAAAGGAATATTAAACCATTATTTGCTTTCCCTTGTAAAATTTGGTGGCCTCCTTATCTCAAACATTGAGATTGTCTGCAGATGCTGCAGCTACCCTATTCACACCTATAATTGTTGTTTGGGATTTTTAAAATTAGTACCTGTAGAATTAGTAACGTTTGCACTTGCCAATATGAATACACATATTTGAAAGTCTCTATCCCTACATCAATATCTGTTATAGTTGGTGTGTGAGTGCTTGAGGTATGTAGTGACAGCATGACAAAACTGGTTTTTTGAGGTTGACTCTTCCACTTCCAAAAGAAGGCAAGAGACCCAGTGGTCTCTAGAAACTCACCTTACTATTCTTATCACACCTATTGCTACAGCAGAGAAGGCATACATGCAAATAAAAACCAAAGTTCATGGGCCGGCCCGGTGGCGCACTGGATAAGTGCGCCGCTTGGGAAGCGTGGCGGCGCTCCCGCCCGAGGGTTCGGATCCCACATGCAGACCGGTTCCCGCTCACTGGCTGAGCGAGGCGCGGGAGCGACACCGAGGGTTGCGATCGCGTTGCCGGTCCCCGGTCTGGTGCGGGGGCGACACTGAGGGTTGCGATCCGTTGCCGGACACGGAAAAAGACAAAAAAAAAAAACAAAAAAAAACCAAAGTTCATACTTTAGTTCTCATTTTCAAAGCTATAAAGTTTGACTTCGTTAAATAGATCTGATCATAATTGAAGACTAGAACAGAAGCCAATAAAAATTAGCTCTGAACATCTTTCTTGTTTCTCAGGGCAGTATACTTACATTTATGTTCATCCTTCAAGTATATATGAGAAATTCTAAATAATAATTAACATTTCTATACCACTTTACTCTTTTAAAGTAGTTTCACATTCACTTCTCAGTTAATCCTCAAAGCAATCCAGAGCAGTAACTGATATTCTTGTCTTCATTTTATAGATCTTGAAACTCAGTTTCTGAGAGATTAAGTAACTAATCCAAGATCACATAGTAAAAAATAAACTAGGTCTAGGACTCATCTTGTTACTTCAAACTTCACTACATTATAATGCTAAATGTAATTATTTCCCTGTTTTATAGATAGGAAAATTAAGGCATAAAGCAGTTAAACAATTTGTCCAGAGTTTCAAGCTTAGGTTCAAAATAAAGATGCATGTTTATGTAATTTTACTGAATGTGTGGAATGGGGAAAGTGTGATGTAAAGGAAAATCAGAAAATTTGGGTCCATAGCCAACCATTTATCAGGAGAACTAGATGTTTGGCTACCTGTATAGAGACAGGGGGCACGTCGAGATGTTTACCTAGGTACATTTGAAAATGGCCCAGTGGACCTTTACCGTCTCCCAGGAGTTGCAGACCAAAGGAAGACACTGGAGAAGAAAACTTTTTAAAAGTCTTGTCAGAGGGGCCGGCCCGGTGGCGCACTGGATAGTGCGCCGCTTGGGAAGCGCGGCGGTGCTCCCGCCCGGGGGTTCGGATCCCACATGCAGACCAGTTCCCGCTCACTGGCTGAGCGAGGTGCGGGAGCAACACCGAGGGTTGCGATCCCGTTGCCGGTCCCCGGTCTGGTACGGGCGCAACACTGAGGGTTGCGATCCCGTTGCCGGTCCCCGGTCCGGTACGGGCGCAACACTGAGGGTACCGAGGTTTGCAATCCCGTTGCCGGTCCCTGGTCCGGTACGGGGGCAACACTGAGGGTTGCGATCCGTTGCCGGACACGGAAAAAAAAAAAAAACAAAAAAAAAAAAAAAAAAAAAGTCTTGTCAGAGAGCATTTCCAGTTTTTTTTCTTCTCCTTGCAGAGATGTCGGCAATGTGGTTGAAGCCATGTATGGGGATCTCCCTCCTCCAATTATGCTGATTGGACATAGCATGGGCGGTGCTATTGCAGTTCACACAGCATCGTCTAACCTGGTGCCAAGCCTCCTGGGTCTGTGCATGATTGATGTTGTGGAAGGTAAATCAGAATGATAGACTTATAAAAGATATCAGTGGTGGATTACCATCTTGTTTTAATTTATTGTTGATATCACTCATCTTGAAGTATTACTTACCCTCTGTCTTTATATCTTTTTATAACTTACATTATATAATCATTTTCTCCATGTCATCAGAAACCCTTTATTAACATCTTTTTATGATTGTATAGTATTTTCAATCATATGTATGTCCCATAATTTTATTTAATCATTTACAAAGAAGGGGCCATGTTTTTTATGACCCTGCCCCAAAAGTCACACACTACTGCTTATAAAAGTCAGCCCTATTCAGTGTAGGGGCACTACACTAGGGAATGAATACCAAGAGGCAAAAATTATTGAGGGCCATCTTGGAAGCTGGCTATCATATTAGTCTTCTGAATTTTCTTAAATTGCATCTTAATTTTTTCCCCCAAGCATCACTGAATTCTGCTATTATTGAGGGCAGATATATAGAGTTGACTCAGTAAGTATAAATGCTCAGAATAAGTTAAATGCTGTGGTTAAAATTTCTGTTTAATATCTAGGTACAGCCATGGATGCACTTAATAGCATGCAGAATTTCTTACGTGGTCGTCCTAAAACTTTCAAGTCTCTGGAGAATGCTATTGAATGGAGGTAACCCACAAATCTATGTTGTCTTTATTTTAAGTGTTAGGTTGTAGCTTTCCTTTTTTGTCAGCTCAAGCACCAAGTTCAAAGGAATAGAAGTTCAGGTTCCAAGCTTTATTATAATAGCATGTGAGGGAAAATTGATGTAAAGAGCAGAATTTTTAAAAAATATTTTAAATATTTCAGACGTCTCAGTTTTCTAAAGCTGAGACATCCTTTTCCCACTACATTTTATTACCTCCTAGAATCTTAGTTATTGTGGATTATCTGCTGTCTAGCTGTTTCTGCCTCTAAGGTGAGAGCTTGTACTAGGTGATCTCTAAGGCCTCTTCTACCTCTAGTGCTCAAGAGTTCTAGGTTCACTTTCTGTGTTCCGGATAAAATGATGGAGAAACAGACAATGGGTGTAGGGTCTGTTCTCCTAAATCTATTTGGGTTTTGGGTAGTTTTTATAGAAATCATTGACAGAATTAGCTATGGCTTCCACTTAAGTAAAGGCTATTCAGTCATGAATTTATTTATTAATTCAGTCAGTCATTTGCTTAAATGTTTATTAAACACTTACTTTGTGGTAAAAGGTGAAGATTCAAAGATGAGTAAAACACTGTCCCTCCCCAAAAGCAGATCAGCCCTGCAATAAAATATTTTCACCATCCCATCTTCCTACATATTCTTCAAAATCCATCTCCAGAATGCTTTTCTAACTCCTCCAAACCACCAGATAACTCCCTCAGCAAAACTGCTAGAGACTTTTAAGTCTATATGATATTGTACTTTTAACCCCTTAAGTCTTCCAGTCCTCCCTTTAGGGATATGCTCACATTGTTCATTTTCAATATCTGTCTTAATGCCCTTCCTGCATCATAAGGGCAGAAGGTGTTCTTTATTTCTTATGTACTTTCATACAGCATATAGCATACTGCTGGATGCCCTAGCAGGTGGAACATATCTGTTAACTGAATCAGAGATATCAAGTGGAAATTTAGGACCTGGTAAATATATCCTAGGGAGTTGTCCTAGAACAGAGGTTCTCATGTCGGAAGAGTGCTTGTGTTTGGTGAGGTTGCTTCTACCACCCCTTCCTTGTTCACTATCATGATGCAGGATCCTATTCTCTCAGAAGCACCAAAGATCTGTCTTGGGCAGCCAAAGCATTGAGAATGAAGCTGCTGCTGGCTCGGCATTATCCTCAGGTGCTCTCCCTGCTTCCCCAGTAACAACCAATGAGAAAATTATTCCAGACTTGGCTCAGTTATCTTAAGCCTGTCCTTTTTCCAAACTTTAAAAAGTTATTCAGTAAGCATTTTTTCTAGTACCTAAGATGTGTCAGTATCTGATCAAAGAACTGGGGATGAATCAGGTTCAATTACTGTCATCAGAAAACTGGGAATACAATCAGGTAAACACATAAACACAACACAATGAAGGAAGTGAAGAGGGTATAGAAGAGGAGCAGCCAATCCAGCCTAGTGGTCATGGTAGTCTTTCTCTTAAAGGAAATAGAGTCTTGATTCTAGTGCCAGATGCAGGATAGTGTAAGGGCTCTGTTTGTGGAATATTAAGATGTTTGGGTTCTGTGAGAGTCACTGATTTTTAGAACTCATTTTCCTTCTTTTTTTTTTCTCTTTAGATTTCTATTTTTAAATTCACATGATTTAAAACTGAAAAGGAAAAAATGATATTGAGTGAAAAGTGTGGACAAGAACTGTTGCCTATCTCTTATGTTCCCTTCCAGAGATATTTTCTGCCTGTATAAACAAGTTTGTACGTTCATATCCCCCCTTTAAAATTTTAACCCATATTTAACTGTTCTTCGCCTCACCATTGTCACTTAATAATGTATCTTTTTTTTCTTTAAATTTATTATTATTATTTTTTACATTCTAAGTTTCTGCCTGTATAAACAAGTTTGTACGTTCATATCCCCCCTTTAAAATTTTAACCCATATTAAACTGTTCTTCGCCTCACCATTGTCACTTAATAATGTATCTTTTTTTTCTTTAAACTTATTATTATTATTTTTTACATTCTAAAATGTTGCAGAGCAGATGGGGGGATACAAAGGGAGGGAGAGGGGGTGAGGAGACAGGAGAGAGAGGGGGTGGGGCTGGCTTTTTCTCTGGCCTGGTTGCAGAGGGTGGGGGTGGGTGGGTGTGGCCCCGGCCCATGGCACCCCTCCCATTCTGGCTCAGGAGCCCAGGAGGCTTCTGGCGGCAGCTCAGTCTTCACTGGGTTGGATGTGGACATTGGAGGGGCATGGCTGAGACCTTCTGTCCCCCTTCCCACCCCAGCTCAGGAGCTGGGGTGGCTTTTGGAGGCAGCTTGGTTGTTGCTGGGCTGGATGTGGACTTTGGGGAGGGCATGGTTGAGGCTCTCAGGCCCCCCAGGAGCTGGGGTGGCTTTCGGAGGCAGCTTGGTTGTTGCTGGGCTGGATGTGGACTTTGGGGAGGGCATGGTTGAGGCTCTCAGGCCCCCTCTCTGCCCTGGCTCTGGATCCTGGGGGGCTTCTGGTCCTTCTAGGTTTTATAGATGTTCTTTGGTGGTGTTAGACCTTTACTCGTTAATATCAGAACTTTGTCTCTGATCTGTGTGTTTTTTGTTTTTAATATGAGTTCTTTGTTGGATTATTAGCTATTCCCACAACTTAAAAACTCTGCACCGGAACTAATTTGTTTTCCCTTGGTTACTTCTGAAATGAGGGAACTTCCTGTGGGGACCAGCACTTGAGCTCTGTGGTTGAGCTAAATTGCTACTTCACTGCTGATTCCCTGAAGAAGGGTTTTTGTGCAGCTCGGATTTTAACTGTTGACCTTTTAAGCACTTCAGGGTCTTGTGAGGTCCGATACATCTGGGTTGTGTGGAAACTCTGGTCTGGTTGTGAGTCTTTTCAGCAAACTGCACCCGCTGCAGTTCTGTATTCCTGACCAGTCTCTGCTGAGTGGGCCTGTGCTGATTGGAGGGCAGATCAGCTGTCCATGTGGTGCCCTGGTGTTCCCCCGGTTGGCCCATCACCCCTACTCCCCACATTCCAAACCCTGCCTATGGGGCAGGCCATGCACTAGACCCTTGTGATGACTCACCAGCCTCTGAGTGGCTCTTTTTTTCAATTGTCTGTGGCCCCTCACTCCTACGTGGGTCCACGGGAACCCTGTTAGTGGTCTTGCTGGCTTGGATTCCACCAAGTCCCTCTTCTCCCCTGCAGATTCCAAGCAACATCACACAAAGGGCATATCTGTGACTTTTGTTGGCTCTTGCTCTGTGTACATACCAGGGCCAGGCTTGAAGAGGCCTGGACTCAAAACAGTTGAAATTTCTTTCTCCCATTGCTGCTTTTCCTGCCTTCATAAACTCTGTGGGTCTCTCCTCCTTTTCCCTGCGCTCTAGTAGCTCCAGCTTGGCAGTTGTTGCTTTTTAATAGTTGTAAGTTGGTTTATTGTGGGAGAGAGTGACACTGGGAACCATCTATTCCACCATCTTGATCAAAAGTTAATAATGTCAAGAACCCACTTTCTGAGCCTGAGAATCAGAAAGAATAGTAGAAGGTATTTGGTAATTTTGTTTTGTACTCCACCAGATATCTGAATGAAGTTATGACTCATGGCCATTTTGGCTCTTCCAGATTATTTTTTAAAGTTGTTGAAATACAAGACCAGCAGATTTCTGCTTTTGCTCTCTTGATCTTCCTAATAAAAAGCAGCAGTATATAGTCTTTAAGATCTTGGGCTTTGACTTCAGACTGGTTTCACCACTTTGGCTTCTCTGAGGAAAATAGAGTAAGGGAAGGAGTGGGGAGTGGGTTGATAATGGAAATGGCAAATTACTTAGGAGACTATTGTGGTAGTATAGGAGAACAATTATGGTAAGCGTAGACTGAGGTGGTAACAGAGGAAGTAATATGGTCAGATTTGAAATGTGTTTTGAAGGTAGAACTGACAGGATTGGTTTATGGATTGGATGTTGGGAGACAGAGGGGGGAAGGGAGATATTCAAAGATGACTTCTGGTTTTTAGCCCAAGCAATTAGGTAAATGGTAGAGACAGAAGTAGATTTGGGTGCAAATAAGGGGCAGGGAATCAGGAGTTTTGTTTGGATAAACTGAAATGACTATTAACCCATTGAAGTGGAAATATTAAGTAGGTCGCTGTATACACTAGTTAGAAAAGATTGAGCTAGAGATCAAATTGGAAAATTGTTATCACATAGGTAATATTTAAGCTGAAAGATTGAATGCAATCACCTAGGGATTTGATGTTGATAGAAAAAAAGATCCAAGAACTGAGCCTTGGGATATTCCACAACATTTAGAGCTAGGGAAGAAGAAGAAGATACAACAAAGGGAACGGAAAATGGTAAGGTGGAAGGAAAACCAGGAGAGTATAGCAAAAAAAAAAGATCCAAGAACTGAGCCTTGGGATATTCCACAACATTTAGAGCTAGGGAAGAAGAGGAAGATACAACAAAGGGAACGGAAAATGGTAAGGTGGAAGGAAAACCAGGAGAGTATAGCAAGTGTTTGTAGAAGGAGGGAGAGACAACTGTGTCAAATGCTGCTGAGAGATCAAGTAAGATGAGGACCAAGAAATGATCATTGAAACTGGCATGATAGAGGTAATCTTGACAAGAGGAAACTTGTCAAGAAAATAAGTGGGAGATAAAAACCTAATATAAGTTGGGGATATAGGTTGGGGGAAGGATGAGAGGCAACAAAATGGAGAAAGCAAGATAACCCTTTTGAAGAGTTTTGCTGTATAGGAGAGCAGAAAATTGTGGTAGTAGCTAATAGTGAATGTGGCGTCGGGTATGTTTTTAAGGGCTAGATCGTGCAGTATGTTTATGACATCCACTAGAGAAAAAAAAATGACACAGAAGAGAGACAGGATAACTGAAGGAAACAACATCCTTTCTGAAGGAAGAGAGGATGGGAACCCAAGGACTCAAGGTTGGCCTTGAATAGGAATAGAGATACTTCATGTATTAAACAGGCATCAAGGCAGAGTTTATGGTTACAAATACTAGTGGGTTTGTAGATTCAGTTAGTGGGCGAAAGATGAAGTAGTTTTGATTGCTTCTGTTTATCATAAAAGTAAGAAACATTGTCCTTATCTAAGGGGAGGGGCTTTAAAATTTTACATGATTTTTTAAGCTAAAAAATGAGATTTAAAGAAACGTGTTCTCCTGGTGGCCTGCTTCAGTGTTTCCTGTTCCTCCTAGGACATGCAGCCATTTTGCTTTGTCCTTAGATGTACTTAGATAGACAAGTATGAGAAGACTAATTTATTCAGATAGTCCAAGCTGTACAGTATGGCTTGCAAGGCCCTGTAGGAAGTGGCCTTGCTACCCTATTCTGTCACACTCCTTCTTTGCTCTCTCCCTGCTGACTTCTCCTGCTGTTCAATTCTTTAAAATCATTATCCTGCTGACTTTTACATCACAGTACCTTTGTCCACATTACACCCCCTACCTAGAATGCTCTGACCATCTTCTTTTATTTCATTTTTTTTTCCGAAGAAGACCTTCTTTTATTTTCTGGTTAACTTCTTATCTTCAGTCCTCAGTGTAAGCAGGACCTTGGGCTGGCCCGGTGGCACTGCTACAGTGCGCCGCTTGGGAGTGCGGCGGTGCTCCTGCCGAGGGTTCGGATCCCACATACAGACCGGTTCCCGCTCACTGGCTGAGCGAGGGGCGGGCGCGGCACCGAGGGTTGCGATCCTGTTGCCGGTCCCGGTCCGGAACGGGCGCGACACTGAGGGTTGCGGTCCGTTGCCGGACACGAAAAAAGACAAAAAAACAAAGGAAAAGTGTAAGCAGGACCTTTGAGAAGATTTCTCTAACCACCTCATTCAGAATAAAGTGCTTTCTTTGACACTTGCTTTATTATATTAACATTATCTGTTTGTATCTTTTTCTCCCTATTCAGTTATGTGCTTCTTGAGCACAGGCCTGGCACATAGTACCCTCTTGGTAAATATTTGCAGAACTGAAATGGTTACAATGTCTTTGTACAATGTCTTTACTTAACTTTTTCTACCTGATTCGTAGCCATAATAGCCAGATGAGTAATGGTAATCTCCATAGTAAGCAACATTAGTAACCTCAAGTTTTTATTATGCGCCACGGAATCTGCAAAATTACTCACTATTCTAGTGATGTGATAAGATTGATGCTGAATAACATCCTCTCTCCCTTCTGACTTTTTCTCTCCTAGTGTGAAAAGTGGCCAGATTCGAAACCTGGAGTCTGCCCGTGTCTCAATGGTTGGCCAAGTCAAACAGTAGGTCCTATTATTCCCCTTTGGGCTAGTTAGAGGCTGAGACATGGTGAGGGAAGTTCAGATTGCTTCTTTTATCTTGCACCTATCCTAAATCTATCCTGGTAAACGCCTTCATTATTTTTGATAATTTTACAAAAATAATGCCATACAGGCTGGCTGAGTTTCTTTCTTTCATTCTCTCTCTTTCTTTCCTTCTTTCTTTTTTTTTATTATTTATTTATTTATTTATTTATTTTCTTAAAAGATGACCGGTAGGGGGATCTTAACCCTTGACTTGGTGTTGTCAGCACCATGCTCTTCCAAGTGAGCAAACCAGCCGTCCCTATATAGGGATCCAAACCCATGGCCTTGGTGTTATCAGCACCACACTCTCCCAAGTGAGCCACCGGCCGGCCCTCCTTTCTTTTTTAAGAAATCCCAAAGCCCGTTAGTGTCCTCTATATAATACTGGATTACCTTAGCACAACTCTAGGTATTAAAAAGTGAAGAATCCCAGAGAGAAAACATTGAAAATTAAGTGTCCACTTTAGTGCTGGCAGTTATGGTTTCATTTTGGTAACAGTTTCCTTCTAAGCCAAACCTGGTTGTGAGGGAATTATAATGTAAAAACTGGCATAACCTGAGTGAAAGCTGGATTCTAAGGGTAAACTGAAATTATTTAGCCCAGTTGATCTTTCCTGATAGTTACATGGGTCCTGACTATTGCTCTGTGGTCACAAAATAAACTTTAGGTGAATTGAAAAAATGTTGCCCAGCATAACAGACAGGAGTGTAAGAGTTAGATGAAAATGATAATGGCATTATTGCATGCTTACTATTTGCCAGGCACTGTACTAGGTATTTTATATATACTATCTCATTTTGAATACATTGTATTATGGAAAAATTTCAAATATATAAAAGTAGAATAATACAATGTACTCCAGTTTACTCATTGCCTATTTTCAACAATTAACTCATGGCCAATCTTGTTTCATCTGTGCATCTATTTACTTCTTAGCACAAAATATTTTGAAGAAAACTCCAAAGAAATTTCCTCTGTAAGGTTTTAGTATACTCTAAAAGATAGACTCTTTACATATAATCACAATGACATTATCACACCTAAAAAATTAACAGTTCCTTAATATCATCAAATATCTAATTAGTATTTACATTTTGATCATCTCATAAATAATTTTTATTGTTAAAATCAGAATCAAAATAAGGTAGATACATAGCAGTTGGTTGATATATCTCTTAAGTGTTGTTTAATCTATAGCTTCCCCTTCTATCTTTCTCCTTCTCCCTCCCTCCCTCTCTCTCTCTCTCTCTCTCTCTCTCTCTCTCTGTGTGGATATATCTCTTAAGTGTTGTTTAATCTATAGCTTCCCCTTCTATCTTTCTCCTTCTCCCTCTCTCTCTCTCTCTCTCTCTCTCTGTGTGTGTTTACTTGCAATTTATTTGTTGAGGAAACCTGGTTGTTTGCTCAGAGAATCTCCCGAAATCCGGATTTGCTGATTGAATCCTCAGACTGTAATTTAACATATTTCTTGGTTCCCTGTATTGTCTGTAAATCATAAGATCCAGAGGCTTGATCAAGTTTAGGCTTGTTTGTTTGTTGTCGTTTTGTTGCAAGAATACTTTATAGGTGATGTTGTGCACTATTACCAGGAAGCACATAGTGTCTGATTGTCGCTCTTTTTTTTTTTTTTTAATGTGAGTAGCCATTGATATTCATTACCTGGATTCATTAATTCATTTGCACTTTCTCATTTAATCCCTAAAATACCTCAAGATAAGTATTGTTTCATAGATGAGGAAATGGAAGTTTAGAGAAGTAAATGATATTCCTAGGGTCACGTCCTAGTGGATGACAGTGCTGAGATTTAAACTCCTATGTACTTGACTTCAAGGCCTAAATTATGGATTTTATGCCAAAATGGCAATTCCAGTATAATATCAGACAGACAGAATAGAGACTTTGAATAAACTGTGAGACTGCCCACTTTTCATTGCCTAAATATTTTTATATCTGCCTTGTTTAAGCAGTTATGAAGCATTTTGTGAAGAATTTACATGACTTACATGCAGGTAGTTCAGTAATTCTAAAATTGTATAGCAAGTGGTGTTTTCTCCTAATAAGTAAACCTATGTTTGTGAGAGTGTGTGTGTGGGTGTGTGATAATTGTCACATAGACAGCTGGAAACTTTCTGCCCTTTTTGATCTAGGTGAAATTGCCTTGAACCTCCTAATCCACAGGCTGTGAAAACTCAAAGCACATATTTCTTTGTTATACTATTTTTTTTTTATCATGTCTGTGATATATACTAGATGTGAAACTTGGTCAAGTTTCTTGGAAAACCCCCACTCAACAAAGCATTTGTGAACATACACTTTATTGAAGGTTTGGTAAACAAGACAGAAAAGGATAAGTTATTGTTCTTGAAAATCTACTGCTGACCCAGTATCTTTTTATCTTGCTCGTTTGCTCTTTTTCTCCCTTCTCTCTTTCCTTCTCAAGGGCAAAATAACAGATTTTGCTTTGTCAATCTACTGCTGACCCAGTATCTTTTTATCTTGCTCGTTTGCTCTTTTTCTCCCTTCTCTCTCTTTCCTTCTCAAGGGCAAAATAACAGATTTTGCTTTGTTGTGCAGAGCAAACTCTTGGCACTAGCTGCTACTCAGGCCCTTGGGATTTTTACATTTAGCAATTGTCAGTGTATTATTTCCATTGAGTTCACTCTTAAAGGAATTATGGTACCAACTATTCATATAATAATCATTTTTCTACTTAATTACATAATAAAGAGATATCATTTCTAAGAGGAAAAAAACAATAACTGATCGGGTCAGATAATCTGCAAAGTTCAGCTGGCCATGGGTGTTGTAATTGTCAGTTTCTATCAGCTAATTAAAAAGGAGGGCCTTTTACCATTCTGTCTGAGCCTTGTTCTAATGTAAGCAGGGTACAGCAGAAAAACACCATGCTTTGGAGTTAGTTGGCCCTGGATTTGCATCCCACCCATATCCACTCATGTGGTAGGTAACTCTGGACAATTTTCTTAACTCTTCAGAGCTACTTCATAGTATTATTATAAGGATTATATAAGACAGTGCCAGTAAAACTTTTATTGCCATGCCTCAGGATATGGTTGCTCCGTTTCTATGGGTCATTACTGGTGCAAGAAAAGGAAACCAGCCCTTGGAGTATAGTCATATGGCCATGACCTTCCACAGTCCTGGAAATGTACATTTTCACATCTTCCTCACAGGAGCATTGTCGAGTTTTAGCTAGGATTTGATTATAAAAAACCATAAGTATGAGTATGTCTGAGATAATTTGTATATAGAAGAGAGGTATGTGATAGCACTTTTTTTAAAAACCTAGGTGTGAAGGAATTACAAGTCCAGAAGGCTCAAAATCTATAGTGGAAGGAATCATAGAGGAAGAAGAAGAAGATGAAGAAGGAAGTGAGTCAGTAAATAAGAGGAAAAAGGAAGATGACATGGAGGTGAGTGACTGCCTTCCATTCTTGGAAAGATGGGATAGGGAATAGTTCCAAGTGTGTGTGGGTGGGGAAGGGGAGATGACATTGTTCCTTTCGTCTACCGTTAGATATTTTAGGGGGCAAAGACACTATCATAAGAGATATGTAAGTTAATCGTTGATAGCTCTGACCTATTGGAACATAAAACTTACAGTATATACCCTACCCTCAAACAGACTGCTTTCTCACCAGGCTCTTTCTTACTTCTGTTCCTGTGGTTTCTCTCATGAGAAGAATCATATTTCCTCTAGTCTACTCTTAGCCCATCCAGATCTTACCCATCTTTCAAGGTTTATTCCTTGGGAAAGCTTTCTGACCTCAGTTTACATTAGTCCCTCTGGAATACAGTGCTGAACATCTATATAACACAACTTAGCACTCTGTTTTTTGAAGTTGTGCCTATTAAGTCAACAGAACTGATTTTTGTAAGCCACATTCAAAGATACTGTGGTGTCCTGCTCATCATCCCTAGAATGCTGACTCATGTTGTCCTCTAATTATGCAAGAATTGTATCCCAAAGAAACAAAGTATGCAATTTAAGGGAAGAAACCGATGTTCTGCATGAATTTTTCTAAGCGTTTAGCTCAGGGTTGTGTAAGTGTTGTAGTAAGTGTTCTGTGAGTATTTCCTGAGCAGTTGCTTTGAGGATAGTTATGGAAAGGAGTGCTTTTTTCTTGGGAATGTTCAGTGATCATGAGCAACAGACTTTCTGGGATGAATTATAAACATCTTACTAAAGGCAGGTAATGTGTGCACCACATACTTCTTTGCATTTGGAGATGCTGCTGTTAGCAAGGAGAGCACATTTTTTTTTAACAGTATTTTTAATTTAGTAAGGATCTCCTTGCCATCCTTAAGATCAATGATCAGAATAATACTTTGTATCTCCTCAGAGTTTACAAAGGTAAAAACTGTATCTCTTTAGAGTTTACAAAGTTAAAAACAACACATGATCTATTTGGCCCTCCCAACACCCTATGAGGTGAAGGGATATCTTTTCTCCTGTATTACCATGTTGAAACCTAGGCTCAAAAGTTAAGAGATTTGGCCAAGGTAATCAAGCATTATTTAGTATATTTGAGACTCTGATACAATCAATTACTTTTTACCTTTTATGTACGAGGAACTATGCTAAGTGCTTCATGCTTCACATTTATCATCTCTAATTCTCATTTTAAGATCTGCATTATAGTTATCACCATTTCACAACTCAGGTACAGATACTTGCCCATGGTCACATATAAAAGTTAGAACTGAAACATACCCAGATCCTCTGAGTTTTAATTCCAACTAATTTTTCCTTTGTAATTTTTTATAAGCCCAATTGTATGGTTTTATAAACATCAGCCGTGTTTTTGACAGGGCAAACTGAGGTGCATTAAGCAATAAGGAGTATCCACTAGCAGTCGCTTTCCATTGCTCTCCAACCCTCCCAGTCCTAGCCATTCACTAATCTACTTTCTGTCTTTATAGATTTACCTAATCTGGACATAAAATATAAATGGAATTGTACAATATGTGGTCTTTTGTGACTGGCTTCTTTTACCTTAGCATAAAGTTTTCAAATAAAGTTTCACTTTATTTCTTTATGTCTGAATAATAATCCATTTTATGGATATACCACATTTTTTTATCCATTCACCAGTGGATGGACATTTGTGTTGTTTCCACTCTTTGTCTTACAAATAATACTCCTACAAGCATTCATGTGTCACCTCTCCCAGGGTGACAGAGACTCAAAGGATTACTCAAAGCCCATTTCTCCAGAGCAGTGAGAGGCCCAGAAGGGGTTAATCCTAGGATCAATTCTTTCAGAAGAGAAGAATTCCTAGGAATAACCCTGAATCAGGTTTTCTCTCAGTTTTTATTCTCCAGGCAGGAAAGTTACAGAAAAGGAACAAAGGTGGTTACAAAAAGAACAATGAGATAATCTTCAAAGCAACACTTAGTTCCCTAAGAAACTCAAAGAAACAGCCGGAGGCGAAATGAGGAACATCTGTTAACCATCAGCCTTGAAGCCTTTAGCTCACATACTTTCCCATCATTAGGTTTAGCTGCACCAAGGATGACTGCTCCCAGAGCAAGCATTTTTGCTGTGTTATAATTTTTTTTATCTACACCAGAGACTTTAGTCCTGGGAAAGTTTTCTGTTTTTCCCAAGCTAAGCATTTCTATGTGCAACTCTAAGAAGTTAGACTATACCTTAAACTAAAGGGCTTTGGCCTTGCTAAAACTACAGGGCTGTGGCCCCACTAAGCTATAAGTTAGGCCCTGTAAAATACATTTGCTTTATTAATGTTGGTATCCTCCACATTCATGTCCACCTTTTTGTGTGGTTTTTATTTCTCTTGGGCATATACATAGGAGTGGAATTGCTGGATAATACAGTAACTATGTTTAACCTTTTGAGGAACTGACAGACTATTTTTAAAAGTGGCTGCACCATTTTACACTCCCACTAGCAGTGTATATGGTTCTAGTTTCTCCACATCCTTGTCCATACTTGTTATTTCCTCTTTTTGATCACAGCCATCCTACTGTATGAAGTGGTATCTGATTGTGGTTTTGATTTGCATTCTCCTAAGGACTACTGATGTTGAGCATCTTTTCACGTGCTTACTGTCCATTTGTATATCTTCTTTGGAGAAATGTCTATTCAGATCTTTTGCCTATTTTTTATTTGGGTTACTTCTCTTTATTATTGAGTTGTAAGAATTCTCTATGTATTCTAGATACTTGTTCTACTTGTGTCTGTCTAGAACATGCAAATATTTTCTCCTATTCTATGGGGTTTTTTTTACTTACTCGATGGTATTCTTGGAAGTACAAAAGTTTTTTATTTTGATGAAATTCAATTTATTTATTTTTCCTTTTGTCCCTTATACTTTTGGTGTCATATCTAAGGAGACTTTGTGTAACAAAAGGTCAAAGATTTCTGCCTATGTTTTCTTCTAAGAGTTTTCTAGTTATAGCTCTTACATTTAGGTCTGTGATTCATTTTAGTGAACTTTTGTGTATGATAGTGGAATGGATCCAATTTCATTCTTTTGCATGTGGATATCCAGTTGTCCCAGCACCATTTATTGAAAAGACTCCTCTTTTCCCATTTAATTGTCTTGGCATCCTTGTTGAAAATCATTTGACTGTAAATGTTAGAGTTTATTTATTTTTATTTATTTATTTATTTTTCCTTTTTGTCTTTTTTCGTGACCGGCAACGGATCACAACCCTCAGTGTCGCTCCCGTACTGGACCGGGACCGGCAAGGGATCGCAACCCTCGGTGTTGCTTCCCGCCCCTCGCTCAGCCAGTGAGCGGCTGGTCTGTATGTGGGATCCGAACCCTCGGCGGGAGCGCCGCCGCGCTTCCCAAGCGGCGCACTGTAGCAGTACGCCACCGGGCCGGCCCGTTAGAGTTTATTTCTGGACTCTTAGTTCTATTCCATTGTTCTATGTATCTGTCTTTATAAGAGTATCACACTGTCTTCATTGTTGTAGCTTTGTTATAAGTTTGAAGTCAAGCAGTGTGAGTCCTCCAAATTTCTTCTTCTTTTTCATAATTATTGAAATATTATTTATATTCTTAAAAAAAATTTTGTTGAATGCTTATTTATGTGCCAGACCATATTCCTATTCTTTTACATACATGAGCATCTTTAGGTCATCCTTAAAACAGTTCTTTCAGACCTTGTGTTGCCCATTTATAGCTAAGAAAACAATTTTGAAGAGGTTAAGTAACTTTCTCAAGGGATAGTTATTAGTTAATGATGGGACTTGGGATTTGCATTCATTCAAGTCTGACTGACACAAAATCTATGTTTTTAAACACCTTTTTAAAGAGAGGCTTTGGTAAATAATGCAAGGCCTGTGGTAGATGCCTTTGTTCTACACATAGAACTGTATCCTACACAGGCAAACACCCCAGGAAGATTGGCAACCAACTTTCTGCTTCTCCCACCCAACAACTTAATCTCATCATATCAATCCGTTTTATTACCGTTTGTCAGAGCATCTGTATTAGTCTGTTTCTGTTGCTTATAACAAAATAGCTGGAACTGCATTTTATAAAGAAAACAAAATGTATTGCTTACAGTTTCTGAGGCTGGGAAGTCCAAAGTCCATCTGGTGGTGGTGACAGCGACCCAGGGGTCTCACATTGCAAGATGGTGTAAGCAGAGAAAGAGAAAGCAGAGAGACAGACAGACTCTCCTCTTTTTAAAAGCCCTCAGAACCACGCCCCTGACCATCATTTTTAATCTGTTCACTATGGCATGGTCCTGTGATCTAATGACCTCTTCAAGGCTCCACCTTTCAATTACCATAATAGGATTTCCCACCCTCTTAAGTCACAGTGGGGGTTAAGTTTCTTATACATAAAACTTGGGGGGGGCACAATTCAAGCTTCAGGGAGTTTTGGGGGGACATTATTCAATCCACTACACCATCTAACAGGCATCTAAACTAAACTAACTTTATAATCCAACTCTCCAGAGAAAGGATTTGTTTCTAATACAGTAAATATAGGAGCAGCTCTAATTCTAAACACAATTTTTTTGTTTTTGCAAATTTTAAGACTTGAGATGAACTCCTTTTTAAAGAAATTTATTCTCATAACATTATTATCTTTGGGGGTTCCCTTACCTTAAATTTGTCATTTGCATATGAATTCCAGTGTACATGTGGGAGGGGCTTGTGAGATTTAGAAATGGCTCATAAATGGAAATTGTCACAGGTAATAGGACAGGCTGAGGTTCCAAACTGAAATGGTAATTAGTATTTCACTTTAAAGTTTCTTATGCCTGGAAAATACTAATAGAAGATGATAGAATTGTTTGTTTAGTGAGAATATTAGAGCCATAAGGTACCATCATGTCCCCTTTTACTGATGGGAAAACCAAAGCTCAGAGAAGGGAAGGGACCTGAGAAAGTCAGTGGCAAAGACAGAACTAGAAGACTGAAGTTTTCTGACTCACCATCCAGTGATCTTTTTCTTTTTATTACGGTAAAAAACACATGACATAAAATTTACCATCTTAATCATATTTTTAAGTTTACAGTTCATTAGTGTTAGATATATTCCCACTGTTGTGAAACAGATTTGAAATTCTATACCTGTTAAATAACAACTCCCTTTTCCCACCTTCCTGAAGCCCCTGGCTACCACCATTGTACTTTCTGTTTCTACGAATTTAACTACTTTAGATTCCTCATATAAGTGGAATCATACAGATGTGTCTTTTTGTGACTAGCTTATTTCACATAGTACAGTGTCCTCAAGGTTCATCCAATTTGTAGAGTAAGACAGGATTTCCTTCCTTTTTAAGGTTGAATAACATATATATGTGTACACACACACACACAGAGTCATGTGTCACTTGATGGGGATGTATTCTGAGAAATGCATCATTAGGCAGTTTCATCTTTGTGCAAACGTCATAGACTGTACTTGCACAAATCAGCATACTACACACTTATAATCTTATTGGACCACCATCATATACACAGTCTGTCATAGCCTACTCCATACCTATAATCTTATTGGACCACCATTGTATACACAGTCTATCATAGCCTACTACAAACCTATAATCTTATTGGACCACCATCATACATGCAGTCTGTCATTGAAAGGTGTCCATGGTGGTACCACATTTTTTTATCCATTTATCTGTTGATGGACATTTGTGTTGCTTCTACATCTTAACTGTTATGGTTAGTGCTGCTGTGAATATGGGTTTGCAAACATCTCTTCGAGATCTTACTTTCAGTTCTTTTGGATATAAACCCAGAAGTGGAATTGCTGGATCATATAATAATTCTATTTTTAATTTTTTGAGGAACCACTTTGCTTTTTTCCATAGCAGTTGCACCATTTGACAGCCCAGATCACAAGGTTTCTAATTTCTCCACATCCTCACTGACACTTATTTTCTCTTTTTTTGGTAGTAGCCTACTAATGAGGGTGAGGTGGTATCTTGCTGTGGTTTTGATTTGCGTTGCTCCATTGATTAGTGATGTTGAGCATCTTTTTATATGCTTGTTGGCTATTTGTATATTGCCTTTGGAGAAATGTCTATTCAAGTCCTTTGCCCATTTTTTCATCAGATTATTTGATTTTTTGTGGCTGAGTTGTAGGAGTTCTTTATTTATTATGGATATTAATCCCTTATCAGATATAAGATTGGCATAGGTTTTCTCCTATTCCATAGATTGCCTTTGCACTTTGTTCATTGTGTCCTTTGATGCACAAAAGTGTTTAAGTTTGATGTAGTACCATTTGTCTATTTTTGCTTTTGTTGCCTGTGCTTTTGGTGTCATATCTAAGAAATCATTGCCAAGTCCAGTGTCATGAAGTTTTTTCCCTATTTTTTTTCTAGGAGTTTTACAGTCTTAGGTCTTACATTTAGGTCTTTAATCCATTTGAGTTAATTTTTATATATGGTGTAAGATAAGGGCCCAATTTAATTCCTTTGTGTATGTATATCTATTCGTTTAGTTAACTAAACACTATTTGTTTAAGAGACTGTCCTTTCCCCATTGAGTGGTCTAGACACTCTTGTCAAAGATCATTTGACCATACATGTGAGGCTTTATTTCTGTGCTCTCTAGTCTATTCCATTGGTCTATTTGTCTTTATGCCATTACCAAACTGTTTTGATTACTACAGCTTTGTGTAATATATTTTGAAATTAGAGAGTGTGAGTCCTCCAGTTTTGTTCCTCTTTTTCAAAGTTGTTTTGGCTGTTCAGGGTCCAGTGGAATTCCTTGTGAATTTTAAGATGTTTTTTTCTATTTCCTCAAAAAATGCCATTGGGATTTTGGTAGGGATTATATTGAATTTGTAGATCACTTTTAGTATGGACATTTTAGTCATCCAGCAATCTTTAACACAATATGTTGCTGTCTCAGGTTCACTTCTAGATTTTCGTATTGTAGTTGATACAGTATCCTAATTATTTTGGTTAAAATATTTCACATATTTCAATGATGCAAAAAAGTATAGAGAATCATTTATTTGTTCAGCTAATACTGATTGTATACTTTGTGCCCATTCACTTTCCAACTATCAAGATTTAAACAGATGTTGACATTTTTTCATATTTGTGTCATATTTTCTTCTTAAAATTGCTATTGCAGGAATATTATATCATTATCATAAATCAAAATGAAGGAAAAAAATGTTCTGCCAGCAAATCAATCTATTTTCAGTTTTTCCTTCCAGCCTTTCTCATAAGTATACCACATTTTTCTGGTAGTAATCCTCTTAGATGACATATTATACTCTGCTTGTTTTACTTAATATTATATTGTAAGCATTTTTTTCATACTGTAATGTATTCTTCATAATCTTTTGATGGTATATCCTTCTTGCCAACTGGCTATAAGAAAAGCTTAAGCTTGGCTCTGCCATTTACTAGCTTTGTGACCTTAAGTTTCCTAAGTTTACAACTTGAAAAGCTTAAGCTTGGCTCTGCCATTTACTAGCTTTGTGACCTTAAGTTTCCTAAGTTTACCGAAACTAATAGAAGTAAAAAATAAACTCCTAATTATCTAAAAATGGAGATTACAACAATAACCTATATAATAAGACTGTTATAAGGATTAAATGTATATTAAAATGACTGGGACACAGTAGGGCCTTAATAAGTGCTAGTTTCCTTCCCTTTCCTTTTCCCAGGGACCTAGTTTTTATCCTGTTCCTCCAGGGGTTGCCCTTGGAGACTCAGAACTTGCTCTTATTTCACCAGACCAAGAAAGACCATCCATATACGTGGAGAATTGAACTGGCAAAAACGGAAAAATACTGGGATGGCTGGTTCCGAGGCTTATCCAATCTCTTTCTTAGTTGTCCTATTCCTAAATTGCTGCTCTTGGCCGGTAAGTGTGTATATTAGTTCATTTGTGTTGCTATAACAGGATACCTGAGACTGGGTAATTTATAATGAACAGAGGTTTATTTGCTTACTATTCTGGGACAGCTGTGTCTGGCATGGGCCTCAGGCTGCTTCTACTCATGGTGGAAAGTGGCAGGCAGCCGGCGGGTACAAGCAGATCAAATGGTGAGAGGAAGCAAGAGAGAGAGAGAGGGGTGCCAGGGTCTTTTGAACAACCAGCTCTTGCAGGAACTGATAGAGCGAGAACTCACTCATTACTCCCCCCACCTAGGAAGAGCATTAATCCATTCATGAGGGATCCACCCCCATGACTCAAACAGCTTCCAACACTGCCACATTGGGGATCAGATTTCTGCATGAGTTTTGGGGGAACAACACATACACACTGATAGTTTGTACACCAAACTCTATCAGTGTGTATGTGTATATATTTGTTAGCTCAGCTGCCATAACAAAATAGTATAGACTGGGTGGCTTAAGCAAGAAAAATTTATTCTCACAGTTCTGGAGGCTGAAAATCTGAGAGCAGGGTGCCAGCATGGTCAGGTTCTGGTGAGGGTTCTCTCTTTGTGCCTTCTCTCATGTGGCCAAGAGAGAACAAGAGTGAACTCTCTGGTATCTCTTATTATAAGGACACTAATCCTGTATCAGAGCCCTCCACCCTTATGCTCATTTAACCTTTTGCTCATTACCTCTTTTCATCCATATACGTGGAGAATTGAACTGGCAAAAACGGAAAAATACTGGGATGGCTGGTTCCGAGGCTTATCCAATCTCTTTCTTAGTTGTCCTATTCCTAAATTGCTGCTCTTGGCCGGTAAGTGTGTATATTAGTTCATTTGTGTTGCTATAACAGAAATACCTGAGACTGGGTAATTTATAATGAACAGAGGTTTATTTGCTTATGATTCTGGGACAGCTGTGTCTGGCATGGGCCTCAGGCTGCTTCTACTCATGGTGGAAAGTGGCAGGCAGCCGGCGGGTACAAGCAGATCAAATGGTGAGAGGAAGCAAGAGAGAGAGAGAGGGGTGCCAGGGTCTTTTGAACAACCAGCTCTTGCAGGAACTGATAGAGCGAGAACTCACTCATTACTCCCCCCACCTAGGAAGAGCATTAATCCATTCATGAGGGATCCACCCCCATGACTCAAACAGCTTCCAACACTGCCACATTGGGGATCAGATTTCTGCATGAGTTTTGGGGGAACAACACATACACACTGATAGTTTGTACACCAAACTCTATCAGTGTGTATGTGTATATATTTGTTAGCTCAGCTGCCATAACAAAATAGTATAGACTGGGTGGCTTAAGCAAGAAAAATTTATTCTCACAGTTCTGGAGGCTGAAAATCTGAGAGCAGGGTGCCAGCATGGTCAGGTTCTGGTGAGGGTTCTCTCTTTGTGCCTTCTCTCATGTGGCCAAGAGAGAACAAGAGCGAACTCTCTGGTATCTCTTATTATAAGGACACTAATCCTGTATCAGAGCCCTCCACCCTTATGCTCATTTAACCTTTTGCTCATTACCTCTTTGTAGGCCCTATCTTCAAATACCGTCACATTGGGGGTTTAAACCATCAACGTGAATTTGGGGGGACAGAATTCAGTCCATAGTAATGTGGGTATATTGTCATCTGTATATGATCTCGTTAAAACTACTAGCCAAATGGGTAGTGACTTCCAAAGTGGACTACCATCTTCACTCATCTTTTCCCTTTTTCCTCCTCGTGCCCAATCCCTAAACCTAACTGAGCATAGGCTAGTTCTGGCCTGGGATAGCCTAGTTCTGGCCTAGCCTTTGTACCTCGTCAAGCCCAAGTTCACTCATCTTTTCCCTTTTTCCTCCTCGTGCCCAATCCCTAAACCTAACTGAGCATAGGCATCCACCTGGGATAGCCTAGTTCTGGCCTAGCCTTTGTACCTCGTCAAGCCCAAATCCTTCTTCTAGAGCCTAGATATCATGGTGTAAGGATATTTTGAGTGTTATGAGAATCAAAACAGTAAAACCCTATTTTCAGTAACCAGTTTAAATGAGTAAAATGATTATAGGATAATCTCAACCTTGAAAGTCCATCTGGTGAGAATATAACCTCTGGGAGTTAGGATTGTCATTAACATGAATTGAGAAGATCCTCATGTTTACAACTTTGTAACTATTTTTAATTAGTACTTGAACAGCAAAACCTATTTCACAGGGCATTTTTCAATAGGCTGCCCATGGATTCTCTTGTTTTGTTCTAGGTGTTGATAGGTTGGATAAAGATCTGACCATTGGCCAGATGCAAGGTAAGTTATCAAGAAATTATACCCCTTACCCTTTTCTGAGGGCAGAGAGAGAGGGGTCAGGGTCATGTGAAAATTAATATTCTGAGCTGGTTAGGTGCAATGGAGAAAGCATGAGCTTTACAAGTCAGACCCATCTTTGAGATCCACCTCTGCTTCTGACCTACTGTGTGATTATGAACATGTATTTCGCTTTTTAGAGCTTTGATTTTCTTTTTCTTTTCCATCTAAAAATGGGTATGATAGTACTCCTTATGTCTCAGAGTTATAAGACTTAAAATGAGGCAATGTTTTTTAAAATTATAAAGTACGATAGGTAGCTAACATTGCAAAAGGAGATATTCTGAATACTGATCAGTATTTTTATTACAGTTAGAATTTTTAGGAAAGGGAAAGATCCAAGATAATGTAGACACAAAAAGGAATAGAATCTGTTTTGAAGACAGTATGGTGAGGTGGCAAAAGGAAGGGCTCTGAGGTTGGAGAACTGAGTTTTGAATATTGCTTTCCTAGTAATTTTTTGACCCTGGGTAAGGTGTACTTGACCTGCTTCAGCTTTAGTTTTCTTAATCTGTAAAATGAGAAAATTGATGACAACCTCAACCAAAGGGTTTGGGAGGTATAATAAGAAGGAAAATGACATGTTGAGCACTATACAGAGGTGCAGGTATGGTGTAAAATGACAGTGGAGGCAGTGGGACCAACTTTGTGGAGGAAGCTCTTGCTTTAGTTTGGGTGAAAGACTTGGTGAAAATGAAGTCAGTAGGTATGACAACTTTGGGTCACGGGAAGAAGAGTTCCGACTCCAAGACTAGGGTTTCAGGCTCAAGCAGATTTTGTTCTTGACCTTCCTTCTCTACTTACTCTCCCTAAGCAAATTTCATGGCTTCTATTTATACCCTGATGATTCCCAAAACTAAACATCCATCTTTATCCCCTCTTCGGAGCTCCAATCCTGGCCTGGGTATCAAACCTGCTGGACATCTGCACTTGGATATATCATGGGCCCCTCAAACTGTTCTCATAGCTATCCCAAGCTCTCTACAGAGAAGGGAGCTATATTCCCTCATTATATGTTCAAAGGCTCTTGAATGACTTATAAAACTGTCCCCAGACCCTCATGCCCTTCCCTTCCTTTAACTCCATAGTGTTCTGAGTCCTGGAGCAGGACCATGAGCTGGGACTGTGTGATTTTTATGGCACTGATGTTGGTAATTCTGGGCTTAGACACATACTGTATGCTTAAATTCAATTCAAGCAAACCTTTCCTAAGCACTCTTTCTGTGCAAGACACCTAAGCTTGATGCTGTGCAGACAAAAGAATCAGATATGGCCCCTGAAACTGTCTGAAAGCAATTGACTTGGTCTGGAATAGCATTTGAAACCAATGTTGGTCACCAGCCTTGGATTCAGACAGTCCTGGGTTTGAATCACTGTTACTAGTTTTGTGGCCTGAGTGAATTGCTAACTTCTTTAATACTGAGTTTCTTCATTTATAAAATAGAGATGATGACGTATCTAGGTAGTTACATGAGGTTTAAATGAGAAATGTGGGTGCAGTAAAAGTCTGACAAATGATGCTTTTCATTTTGTCCAGCAAGCACTCAATAATTCCTCATTAGATGCCCTCCTGTTTTCTCAGTATGGATTGTGTCAAGACCACCTTTTCTTTCAGAGAAAGCATCCCATGAGTATAGAGAGTAAATGGCTAGGATGAGGGAAATTCCATAAAACAAAATGAAATGGGTAAGTCTGCATAGATTCCAAACCACAGCCTTCCCAGAACTGTGTTCAAAGCAGCCGAATTTGTTGTAGAACCCTAGAAACTCACCACTTTATTCATGGCTCAACTTGAATAAATAATTTAGGATCTCTGAACCTAAGGTTCTTCATCTATAAAATCAGAGAAGAGGGTTTAGAAATATTCTCACCTCATAGGATAATTGTATGCATTACTCATGATTATGTTATCTTATGTATACCTCGCACAGTGTTACTAGTATATGTGAGTTCTCCCTTATTACTTACTTATACCCACTCTTCCAAAGAGGAATGAAAAATACACCCCTAGTTATCAGAGGCAGATAGAAAGACCAGGGGGGTTGGAGTTGTAGGTTTTGGCTGTGGTCATTTGTTTAGTCATTCATTCAACCAAGACTTACTAAGCACCTACTCAGTGCCCAGCCCTATGTTGGGTCCAATTAGTGATGTAGAGCAAATGATAATGCCAGCCCCCATTCTTATGGAAACAACACACTCTTGTGGAGGCATGTAAAATATAAGCTTACAAAACTAGAAGGCACATCCTGCTCTGTGTTTGGATCCAAATGCATTAACAATAGTCCCTTAGGAGATAGAATGGTGAGGTGACTAGGCTGGAGCACCCACAGGCAGCTTACTGTGGAAGGAGAGGCATAAGCTGAGCTTTACTGAATGGAGTGGTCATAGTTCCTCCACTAATTAACTAAGTGGCCTTGGGCAAGTCCCTTCACTAATCATGGCCTCAGTTTCATCATCTCAAAAAAGAATTTTAATATTTGTCCTGTGTAATTTTATAGGGTAAATTTTTTTTTTCCTTTTTTCTAACCTGTAAGGGGATTGCAGCCTTTGGCATGGTGTTGTCTGCACCTGAGCGCACCGGCCATCCCTATATCAGATCCGAACCCACGGTCTCAGTGCTACCAGCGCCATACTCTCCCGAGTGAGCCACGGGTCTGGCCCTATAGGGTAAATTTGAGAATCAACTTTAAAAATGAATGGAAAAGTACATTGGAAACTTTTTGAAGCACTGTGTAACTGGGGTAAGAAGCACAGAATGTGATAACCAGAAGGACTTCCAGAGCTTATTCCCTTATTTTGTAAATGGAGAAACTGAGGCTCACAGAGTCTGCTCTTTGCCGATGGGAGCTCTGGGTCTCATGTCCTTTAGTCTCCTTAGGGATCTTCTTTATCAATCATCTCTATTCACTTTTAATGGCTATCACATTAGTTGTGAGCTTGCAGTGTTCCATAAGACAGTGAAAAAGTTCTTAGAACAGTGCCTGGCACGTAGTTAAGTACTCAAATGTTAACATTATTTTAATAATAAATTTCAAAATCCTTAACATAGCTTACAAAAAACCTGAATGGTATAGTCCCTGCTTACGTTTGCAGCCTAATTGTTAACCACTCTCATAAGCACCATGCCAAGCCTCTTTTAGATTTCCATGAATAAATACCATTTCAAGACTTCTTTTATTTGTGTAGGCTATTCTTTTTGTGTGGGAAAAGAATATTCTATTCTTCCTGGATCTCTGTTGGATTCTGAAGCCCCCTTTCCTATGCTCTTACAGCCCATTGTGCCCAATTTTATCGTAAGGGCTACATGCTGCATTAAAATGTTGATTTTTATGTTTTACTCCCCCCCCTCCCCCCCCCCGAAGACAGGAACTGTTTCTTCTGTGTGTTATGGTCCACAGTAAATGTATACTAAATAGGTACAGAAAGAAAAAGTGAAGGGAAAATGATTTGCCCAAGATTACAATTATTACCATCCTTATCAAAGAGTTGGTAATTGGGCCCAGAGTGTTGGGGGTAAAGGGTCAGGGTAGAAATATGGAGGTCCTGGGCTCCAGGAGTGACTGTGAGGCTGCAGAGGTGGTTAGGAGAGGGCTGTTTTAGTCTCTGAGGTTGCCTGGTTTTGCTTCTTTTCCAGGGAAGTTCCAGATGCAGGTTCTCCCCCAGTGTGGCCATGCAGTCCATGAGGATGCCCCCGACAAGGTGAGTCTGGTACTTGATGACTGTATAAGGACAAGTGTGAGAGTAATCTTGGATGTCACAGAAGATAGGACAAGCCTCTGAGTCTCAGCCTGTGTTGCTTGCGTCTTAGCCTGTGTTGCTTGCAGCAGCTGCTATGAGGCCTGTGCAACTGCAATTCCACCAGCTCCCCAAACCTCCCCCTGGCAGCTGCCTCTGGTCCTGGCTTTGTACGTATGGGCTGAGGTGCTACTGGCACCCTGCTGTTTCTTCCCAGGGTCATATGGTTATGATCTTAAGCTCTACTTTGCCATCACCCACAAAAGACAGATGGACGAAGGATGATTGGAATAGAAACTACTCCCTAAACTATAGTCACAGTGAGGAATTAATATAGGCTTCTCCTGTGGGAAAAAGGTGCTTTGTAACTCAGGGGATAAATAAGCACTTCACATCATTCCTCTTGACCTGTCTGGAGCCATCACTGGCAAGGATGGTGGGAAAGAACATCCAAATCCTGCCAGGGCCCAGGTGCTTTTGATTTCAAGCTACCCAGACCTATGGGACTTATGAGGGCACCATAGAGCCTAACCTTCCAACAGAAGCCCACAAGACTTCCTAGGCTAAGCCCTGTCACTAACCTTTACGTGGCCTGGAATCTCTCTCCCTGTTCCAGGTAGCTGAAGCTGTTGCTACTTTCCTGATCCGGCACAGGTTTGCAGAGCCCATTGGTGGATTCCAGTGGTAAGGAAGTATAAGGGTTTAGGACCCCAGCAGTGCTGACTAACTCCAACAAACAGTTATTTGCAAGGTTGTAAATATCTTGGGTTTACCCCTACTTGGTTTGGGTCACCATACCTCTCTTCCTCAACCAAGAGCCTGGCATGCGTGTTTCTACAAAGCCATGATTAGTTGTTTCTGTGTGCTCTGGTCCAGTGGGTTGTCGATGAGGCTGTGATTAAATTGTGCCTGGTCTGAGGAAAGCTGGGCAGGACATGGAGACTGTAGAAATTTAAAGCAGGATTTTCAGCCTCAGCATTACTGACTTTTTAGGGCAGGTAATTCTTTGTTGTGGGGGGCCATCCTGTGCATTGTAGGATGTTTAGCAGCACCTCTGGCTTCTCCCCACTAGATGTTAGTAGCACCTCCCACACACAGTTCTGACAACCAAAAATGTCTTCAGATACTACCAGATGTCTCAAGGGAGGCAAAATCGCTACCACTGGTCTAGAGGAAGAAGTGGGGCCAGGTGTCTCATCCTTAGGAAGCTCTTCATCTGATTAGGGAGACTCAGTTGGGCTCTTTGTTGAGGAGGAAGAAGACCCAAACCAGGCAGTCCTGGACCACCTCAGAAAGCTCCTAGTCTGTGCTGCAGAAGGCCCTTGATCCTCAGAGAGCCCACAAGCCTGATGAGAAGTCAGTCCTGCCCCCTGGAAAATATCTTCCCTGATTTTGGTGAGGGTTCAGGGGAACTTGTTCCTCACCCTCAGAAAGTTTGATGCAGAAGAAATGCTGAAGAAGAAATGGCTTCTACTTAGTGAACTCTGAATGCCAATTCCTGGGAGCTGAGAGTGACAGGGCAGGGTAAGCATTGGAGATTATGACAAGAGCTGGTACAGTGAGCCACAGAAGTGACACCATTGTGCCAAACCATCCTTCTAGCAGCTGACTGTTGATGGATCCCAGGAATCAACATTAAAGACTTAACTTCTCTTAAAGTGTTGGACTGGGACTCCTGGACCATTTGGAGCCTTCGTCAAATGAGCATTTCACTGAGAGCAGACCTTGTGTCTAGCCCAGGATGGGGCCGTGGGGAGATGGGACAGATGGTTATTAGGGAGGGCTTCAAGGAGGAGACATAATCAACATTAAAGACTTAACTTCTCTTAAAGTGTTGGACTGGGACTCCTGGACCATTTGGACCCTTCGTCAAATGAGCATTTCACTGAGAGCAGACCTTGTGTCTAGCCCAGGATGGGGCCGTGGGGAGATGGGACAGATGGTTATTAGGGAGGACTTCAAGGAGGAGACAGGGTAAGCAGGGAAAGTTAGTGATGGTTACATTTTCTTTCCCTTCTCTTTCTGCTCTTCACAGTGTGTTTCCTGGCTGTTAGCGACCTGCTATCTGCTCTTCCCCAACATTGAGCTCTGTTGTAAATACATCGCACCAGAGGCCACTGTGATGCCGCTGTCTCCTCACCATCCCGCCCGGCCATGTGACACCGGCTCCCTGTAGACGGGCATCCCCAGATGTACAAACCCTTTTGTGTATTCCTGCCAAAAGCACTGTTTTCCAGGGCCCTTGACCAACATCGGCCTCCCTACTCCAGGGCTCCCCAGCTCCTACCCCTTCCTTATGCAGGAGCAGCCCCTGCCTGTTCTCCCTGCCTTGCCTAAGGTGAAGCCTCCATCAGAGCTCCCCCCACTTGGCCCCTGTTCCTGGTATTAGGCAATGCATCTGGGTCCAAATGTCTCCCCTAGGCTCAAGGACCTCCATTCCTTGAGATTGTTCTTCGTGTGGTCCTGCCATACCTTAAGGGGTGGACAATGCACAGGGTGGTCCTTATTTTTCCCTTTCAAATAAAACACCAATCAGGTACCTTTTTATCCCAGTCTTACTCTTTCAAGTTTGGAAGACCCAGAGAAGCCAGGATCCCATCCTTAGGTACAGGGAGGGGTGGTGGATAGCATCACAAGAAACCAGGCTGAAAATCAGGTCCAGCCAGTCCAAGCACATGGCCTCCCATCTGGGAAAGCCCACTGTCCCACTCCCACATGTCTGGGCACCTGCCCTGGGCTGAGGCCAGGCTGCTCTAGGGGCCTCTTGAGCCCTCACCTGCTATTGAGCAACCCAGGTTAAATACAGCCCATGCACAAAGTCACAGGCTAAAGCCTGTGGAAGTGTTTTTAATAATCAAATTTAACCATTTTCATAATTGGTTCCTGGAGGTGTGCAGAGTGTTGGCTTGCCTCTTCTAGACCCACAGCTTCTCTTCGCCATTTGTGATTTCCATGTCACTCTTCATAGAAACATTACAGCCTAGCATTCCCAGTCTTTGCCCTCTTCCAGCTGCCCCATCACAGCACTGCAGCCTCCTCCTGCTGTCCTGGCACGCCATTTCCAAGGGCAGGGAGGGGCAGTCTCCTGAAGCCCATCTTTTCTGTGACTGTCTTAGGTGATGCGTAGCCCCCTCCAACTTTCCACCCAACAACTTCCTATCCCTGTCCTGCTGCATGGTCCGGAGTCTGGGACCTATTTTGTTTCTTTGTTATTTATGACGTTGTGTAAAGAAAATAAATATCTCCCAACCTTTATCGGTCTGGTCATTCTCTGTGGAGTTGTCCTTATTTCTCCTGATCTGAGCTCAGCAGACAGTTTGTTGAACTTAGTTGTAACAGAACTCCAGAAACCCATTTCCTTATAGCCTATCAGTATTTTATACTCTGCCTGCTCCCCAGATCCAGAATACTCAGGAGATGGACACAGTCAGCCTCCACTGCAGCAAAGGAGGCCTGGATTCCTGTCACATCTCTTCTAGTTATTTGCTGTGTCGACTTTGGCCCAGAACAGTCTGTGCACTGTCCACATGACCTCAGTCACTAATGGCCTCACATATGCCAGCACCCAAACTTTGTCCACAACCCAGATCCTCCTGAGCTCTGGACACTTAGGTCCATCTACCTTCTCATGTCTCCCAGATGACTGCAAGCCCCTTCATAATGACCATTCCTAAAAGTGAATTTTCTCCTCCCCTACTCCCCCAAAACTTGCTCTTTCTCTGCAGGTTCCTAGCTGAGTAAGTGGTAAGTAACACCATCTGTCCAGGTGTCCAGACCAGACACCCAGAGTCCCCTGGACTCCTCCGTCTTATACCCACATCCAGTCTACCACCAAACCCTGCCCATTCTCTTTTCTGTGTCCCCTCTTTTCCACCCATAGCCACTACTCTAGCTTATGCCTCCTCATCTCGTACCTGGATCATTTCTGTACCCTTGCTGGTTTCACAGCCTTTCCCTCCCTAAGTCATCCTCCATACACTGTTGGAGTCTTTCTAGCAGGCTCTGGAGCCAGCCTGGCTAAAATAGAACCCAAGCCAACCCCTTACTTGGCTGTATGATGTAGCAGTGCACTTTCTTCTGCTGCAGTTTTCTCATCTGAAAAATGGAGATAAATAGTACCTATCCCACAGGGTCTTGAGGACTATTTAAGTTAAAATAAGAACTGAATTTCTCAGTAACTGGTAGATACTTAATAGTTCCTATTATGTCACTCCTATTTTATACTTAAGACCTTTACTCAGAGTGGTCCATGGGCCAAGTAGCATCAGTATCACCTAGAATCTTATCAGAGATTTTGTTGCCACCCCAGAACTGATCTGCATTTTAACAAGTACATTAATGTCTGAGAAGTTCTGGTTTAGATATTCACTAAATATTTCAGAATAAAGTATGAGCTCCCTAGCAGAGAAGTTCCTTGTGGTGTGATCTGATTTTTCCCACTGAGCCCTTTGAGGATGCCCTTTCTGGGCTGTGTACCTTCTTGTCCACAGGGGGGCAGCATGGCCACGTGTGGTTTTCAGGGGCACTCAGTTCAGCTATTTTTGTTCACCAGACGAAAGTCATAATAGTTACCAAATTTAAGCATCATCTACTTGGCACATCTCATTTAATCCTCACAGCAACCCTATGCAGTAGGTGCTATTATATTCCTTTTACCGGTAGGCAGACAGTCCAAATTCATACAGCTCAGAAGTGACAGTCTTAGAATTCAAACCTAGGTTGCTTACATGTCATGCCACCTCCTGGATGATACAAAGGACCCTGGGCAAGAAGTATGTATTAGTCCATTTCTGTAGCTTATAACAAAATGCCTGAAACTGGATAATTTGTAAGAAAACAAAATTTATTGCTTACAGTTTTGGAGGCTGGGAAGTCCAAAGTCCAGGGAACTCATCTGGTGAGAGTCTTCCTTGGCAGTAAAGCAGGGGTCTCACATGGCCGAATGGTGAAGCAGAGAGAGAGACTCATTTGCTCTTCTTTTAAAGCCCCCAGAACCACACTCATGACCTCCATTAAACCATCAACTTAATCACCTCTTCAAGGCTCTACCTTTCAATTACTGTAATAGGATTTTCCATCCTCTTAACACTGTCCTTAACAGTGTCCTCTTAACACAGTGCGGATCAAGCCTCCAACACATTAACCTTTGCGGGGACACAATTCAATCCACTGCAAAGTCATTTTGGCCCAGATACCTGACTTAAAAGAGCAGGAGGATGATGACCAGGGAAATAAGGTCTCTTTAGGCTTGATAGATGGAGGCTGAGAAAGAATGAAATGTTTGTTGAGCTTTGTGTTAGGTATTATGACAGGCGCTTACATATCAATTCATTCTTTGTATCCTTGTGAAGTATAGGCATACTTATCCCCAATTTAAAGGCAGGAAAGGCTGGCCAGTTAGCTCAGTTGGCTAGAGTATGCTGGTGATAACACCAAGGTCAAGAGTTCGGATCCCCATGCTGGCCAGCCACCAAAAATATATGAATAAAATAATAAAGGCACAGAAACTGAAGCTCAGTTTTGATATTGCGCACAGCCGCAGATAGGGTGGGAGTATCTTTGTCTTCTGAGAGTATGTTTATCTTCTGATTCCAAGTCTACTGAGCATTCTACTATACCCCAGCAGAGAAGGGACCATTCGTATATTCACTTAACCTCTTTAATGAGCACCTATTATGTATGTGCTGGCCATAACAATGTCCTTGCAGAGGTGACATCAGATATGAACTCAGGAAGGAAATAAGCCAGACCCTTGAATGAGGGATTGCCACAGAGCCAGAAGAAGCATGTTCAGGTCAATCCAAAGGCCATTTTGTCACAAACACAAGAATGTCCAAGGGGAATTCCTTCCCCAGAAAGGAAGGTAGGCAGATTTGGGGGGCAGACCTAGATCTAATGGGGGAGAGGGAGAATCTTGAGATGGAGAGGACTCAGACCATGGGATGAGGGGAGCAGGGCATGACATCTTGGTGTCATGCTCTTAACATACTCTCGTGAGCATTTTTTCACTGATTAAGCCTGCCTGAGCACGTATTTTGTGCCAACATCCAATGTAATTTGGAGATGGAGATAAATAATGAGGCCCTTAAAATGAGCTCATGGTCTAGAGAAAAAGAAATAATGGCCACAAGGTATAAAGGTGGGGGGGAGGGGGGAGGAGGATGCAAATAAACCTATTTGAAACAGGCCAGGGAAGGTTTCACAAAAGAGGCAGCACTTCAGTTGTCTTGAAACACCATGAGGTAGAGGTAGAGAAGGAAGGGAAATAAATTTCTCGTAGAGGGGACAGTATAGACCAGCACTGGAGCACTGAAAGTCAGTCTTAGAACTGGTAGGAATATCAGTATGGCTGGAATATTGGCTGTGGCAGGAGATGAGCCAGGAAAGGAGGCAGCAGTCAGAGCATAAAGTCTTGAGTGGCAAGAATGGGGAGTTTTCAGAAGTTATTAAGCAAGGATGTGACAAGATCAGGTGTAGATGGATTGGTGGGTGCCAGACCAGAGGCTTGGAGATCAATAAAGAAGCAACTGTAGTAGTCCAGGTGAAAGACAAGGGTGTATCTAACTAGGATAGTGGCCACAGGGATGAGAGAAGGGGACAGTCTCAACATTTTTGAGGTGGGATGAACAAGACAGAAATTAATTGCATTTGGAGAATGAGATGCCAAGGACCCATAAATTGGATTTAACTCCCTTAATTAGGGAGTTTAAAGGTCAAGACTTTGCCAAGTGAAAATCGAGGAGAGCCTACAACAGCAGCAGAGAAAGCACAAGGCAGTTATAGGACCAGTGTTTTGTTTGCAGTCTTGGAGCCAACTCTTCAGCCCCAGCTGGCCACTCCATCAGTAGCCAGAATCAACACATTCTTAGTCTGGGTCCAGGGCTCGGAAAGTTATGTAAACTCAAGAGGCTCCCTTATTCCTCGAGCTGGCTTCCTCTCCTAGTAGTTGCTAGAAAACCCCAGCCCATAGCCAGGCGAAACCTTGGAACCTGAGACTAGCCAAGTGGCTGGCGTTTTCTAGCTGGGTGGGGGGAATAGTCAACTGAGTAGGTTAACTGAGTGTTGGGGGAGAAAGCTTTTTCCTGATGATCAATGATGATGTCACTTATTGATGACTAATGAAACTTGAGCTTGGAATAACTGACGCGATGCAGTCTGAACCATTTGTAAACCACATTTACAACCTCTGAGACCTCACAACTCTGTGGCGTGGGTAGGGCAGACAGATCAGCAGTAACATCCTACAGATGAGGAAACGGAAGCTCTGATAAGAAAAGTGATCTGCCCACGGTCACACAGTAGCACAGTCTGGACTAGAGCTCAGGCCATCTGACTCCCAGACCAGTGCCTTCCTTATCACTCTCAAACTATTATAGAGAGATGAGAGGTGGGCAGGTTCATGGAGGACTGGGGTCTGGTGACAGGAGACATGCTCCAAGCTCAGCTCGGCCTCTTACTAGCTGGGTTATCTTTGGCACAGAACTTCTTTCAGAACTATTTCCTCATCAAAAAAAAATGGGGTGATAATCCTTAATTCACAGGGTGTTGTGAGGATTAAAATGAGACTTAAGTATACAAAGTGTAAGTGTGTGCTTCCTGCAGTAGTTGAGGTGAAAAACAGTAAATGCCATGGTGCTAAGAATACAAGGTGATGGATTCATCCTGATTGGGAATCCCAGAAGGAAAGGGAAGCCAAGGCAAAAGCCATTATATTCAAGGTCTGTTGGGTTCCACTTCCTAACCCCACTTGGTGGGGCTGCTCTTAAGCAGAACAGAGTTAGTTAAACTTGGTGTGCACTTAGGGCCCAAGTGCTGCCAGAATTATAAATCCTCCCCTGGCCTGGGAATGTCCTTAAATTAAAAAAAATTTTTTTTGTTTGTTTTTTTTGTGTGTGGTAAAATATACATAACACATTATTCCTCATTCTCAACAGGTGTAAATGTACAACTCAGTGGCATGTAATTAATATTCACAATACTGTGTACCATCACCACTAACTATACCCAAAACTATTTTATTTTTTTAAAGATGACCAGGAAGGGGATCTTAACCCTTGGCTTGGTGTTGTCAGCACCACGCTCAGCCAGTGAGCGAACCGGCCATCCCTATATGGGATCCGAACCCGGGGCCTTGGTGTTATCAGCACCGCACTCTCCCGAGTGAGCCACGGGCCAGCCCCACCCAAAACTTTTTTTATCATCCCCAACAGAAACTCATTAAACAGTACCCATTAAACAATAACCCCTTCTTCCCC